ATGAGTGACTCGAAATTGGACATTCGCTCGTAAATCTCATGGGGGCACACACAGAGCAGTGATACGAAACGCTATATCACTGAGCGCGCCGCGCCCTCGAGGAAAGTTAGCCTCTCACCGTATAGATGTATCCCTCTCGCGTGGCCAGCAAAGCTTGTCCCGAGGAATAGACTTGCAGCGTATATACGCAGTCTCGTCGGGGGCTACTCGCTGCCTTCCTGCGTTTCCATTTTCCTCGCTATGCTGTTACTGTTCTATGCAAGTTTGATGGACTTGGTGTGTTTGCGCGACTGTGCGTGCGCCAGAACTTTCCGTCAAGACGTTTCCATAAGACGTTCGTTCGCTTGGCTTTTTATGATAAATCGGAGGCAGCTACGAAGAATTCATTGCACAATTTGCAATCGAGCCTTACTGATTTACTCAATAATTTTCTCGATATTCAAAAGCCACCAATAACACCTTCATAAAGCTTATGATAATATGAATAATCGTAGTTTGATCGCCGCTTTAGACAGGACTTTCCCCATTGTAGCACACCGCTGTCATTAAGCAAACAAGTTCTCTCCGCCCACGGAGAGCTGCGAATTTGCAAACTCATCGCATAATGCACTCTCTCTTCCAAGTCCTATTATTCTTATATGACATTTCCTGTGAATCATATTCGACTACGATTTAATGACAGTTTTGTTTCTTACTATAAAAGATACGTAATATAGTACAAACTACCTCAGATTTTCCGCACTCGAGTGCATTGTCGGCTCAATTATATTCCATGGAAAACCGTTAAACGTACAATTATTCGCGTGCAAATACTATCATTAATATCTGACGTCGTTGTTTTGAAAGTTTGAGTCGCGAAAGATGAACTTTTTTTTTTTTTTCAAGTGGCATATTTCTCACGCTCGACTGGGAGTCGGGAGGCAATCTCGGCAAGCACCTCTAAAAAATTGAAACTGCGCGAGAGGAGAGCTAGACGAGAGATATAAATCATTCGCGAGTGATTATAACTTTGCGAGAGCCTCTCTCCCTCTCTCTCTCTCTCTCTCTCTCTCTCTCCCGAAACCATAATTAATGAACGGAAAACTGCGTCTCGCAAAAGATGGCGAACTCTCGTGAGTGCAAACTAAGATAAATGATGTATATCTCGTCTGTGACGAATTCTCTTTACTATCACCTATTATCCGCCAACGCGAGCCCGAATATTTCGATAATGCCGCATCGCGCGCTCAAAACTTACGAGAGAGAGAGAGAGAGATACTCCCGGCAAGAATTGCAAGCTTCGCGCGTCGGGCCAAGTTATTTAGCTGCTACGCTATTATAATTCACTCGGCTATGCGCAGAATGACAACTCATTCTCTTGCACGACATTTTTCAGCTGCAGTCTCCATAGTATCACGCGTCGTTATTGCGAAACTTGCCTGCACAAGTTGCTTTGTAGCTTTGAAAACAACTTTTCCCTTGCCTCGAAACCTGCGCCGAATGGTAAATCGTGATAAATCAGCAGCTTCATTAAATCAAACATCAATTCCACCGCAAACAAATGCAGAAACGCAAAATTGTTTCGCGGCTAATTATACGTACAAACAGAGTGTCTCTAAAAAACTTGAAAATTATTCCTGATGAAAGATTCATTGGCTGATGAATAATGTATATCTAAATAAAACGCTTTTCCTCCATTTCCCGGAACAAATTGGATCGAGGGCGTACTGAGTTGGTATGTCAAACAATTCCCCTTCCTCAAACCGAATGTCGAAATTCTCGCTAGAAGAGACGCAACAAACATTTTTTATCAAAATATTTTTATCGAAATGATTGGCTTTATGAGTAACAATGATATACATTCGTGATAACACACTAAAATATTGTTTTCAAAATGTCCAACCAGGTTTACGAAAACGCAAGTATACATCAGTTCTTTAAAATGACAATAAAAATAATCAGCGCAGTCTATTTTCGAAAGAGAGAAAGAGGAAGACATTCAGATTTAGAGATTCTCTGGTGAAAACAAATTCATTCTATCATTAGTGTTATCAAGAGAAGGCGCGAAATTATTTGTCACTGGCTAATTCCGCGAAAGCATTGTGCGGGCGCGCAGCTATAATTGGGCTGCTTAAGTGGAAACACATAAATCGCCGCCGCCTACGCGCCGCTCGCACATGTGTGCCTGCGGCGGAAATACAATGCTCCTGCAAGCGTCCGAGTGGCGTCGTCGTCGTCGTCATCGTCATCGTCGTGGCGAAAAGCTTGCGAGCTCGTTTACTTACGCTGAGGCGTGAAAAAGCAGTTGCGGTTTGCGTTAAGCATTAGCTTGCTGCTGGCGCGTTCCACGTACATTCGAGATAATGATGTAAGTACGGCTGCATGCTGTCGTCGTGCGGCCACTTCATCAGGCGTCAACATCGTCGAAGCGTCGCGCGAGTGAGGACAGGCAGGACAGTTGTCGCGTGTGTTGGCGATGCAAGTGCGAGTCGACGACTGGATCGAACTCCGTCGGGTCGACGATGCTGCTGGTGCGCTAGCGCTACTGGTCAGTCTCGAAAATAGGTCCACGCGCCTGCTCTCTCTCTCTCTCTCTCTCTCTCTCTCTCTCTCTCTCTCTCTCTCCTCTCTCTCTCTCTCTCTCTCCTCTCTCTCTCTCTCTCTCTCTCCTCTCTCTCTCCTCTCTCTCTCCTCTCTCTCTCTCTCTCTCTCTTTCTCTGAGTCCACTTTGCTCTCTTTCTCCCGTCCCGCCGGTGCGCTTGGGTATTTTTAACTAAGCGGACGTGAACCCCGAAAATTTAAAGAAGCTTCGCGCATACGGCGGGAGAAGAAAGCTGTCGCGCGCTCCCCCGCGACCACCACCAAGTGCATGCTTCTCGCGTTGGACGATCACCAACGTGGTCTTTCTTTTTTTTGCACGTGATGCTTGTACGGAATACCCGATGGTATGTTCAAGTTTTGCTGACTGATCGCTAGCTATACTTTTTTTTGTCTAGGAATGCTGTTGCACGTGATATGTTTCCGTTCAAAAGTTTGTTAGCCGAAATGTTGAATTGTATGTAGCAATGCAGTCGAATTGTCTTTGCGTTTATTTCTTGAGTTCCATTCTTGAAAGAATTAGGTTTGTGGTATTTTGCAATTTCGTTGAGGAATTTCAAAGGTGATGAATGAGTGTTCTGATTGTGTAAGCGACATAATGGTCACATGAACTAAAATTAATATGTTATGAAAATTATGAACCTAGACACGATTATGTAGACGTTAGAATTTAGAGTAAAACTTTTCGGAAATTTGCGAAGAAGCCAAATTTATAGTACTTAAAAAATCAAGAGTCACGTGGTTCAATGAAATAGTAATGAATGATAGTATAGTGATTCATTTGATTTGGCTCAAAGTGGAAAATATTTCATCGTCACTATCTACAGCGATATATATTCTAAAACATAAATCTGCAGCGTTCCACATGGACGTAGTTCTTGAACTTACAATAACAATAACAATAATAATAAGTGTCATCAAGCGCACTTCACGCGCTCATTTCTTGTTTGTAGGCAAAATAAAAAAAAATCTAAAATACACTACATACGTCTTAAATACGTCAATATTAATTGATAAATGAAAATTCAAATACGTTGATTATTCGCCAATTTAGCAATAATTTGGCTATTTAGTTATAATAGATAATAGGCAGTGCATTAAATTCGTTATCTTTTAACATTCTTGTCTACGACTTAAATTTTTTTGTAAAATATCCTCATATTAACAGATATGTAATTTTAATTTGTTTCAACTGTTTATTCGCGACCATTCGAAGCGTTTGTTTACAAATGAAATTAAAAATTTTTTTTAAATAAATTAACGGTACCGAATGCGCTGAAACCAATCCACAGTATGTCATATAAAATCGATATACAACTCTCTTCATTTTGTTAATGATGTTGATTCAAAGCTAAAAATAAGATTTTTAGAATAAAGATATTCAGTAAATTGATATGTCCTACAAATAAATGTAATTGGAGTGCATTAAGCTTACTTTATCGTGTTATTTTAAGGTTAGTCCGTTGAGAGAATGTGGGCGTTATTGTTTTTCTAATGCCTATAAATTGTTGTACTTATTTTTATTCATTCAATTGATTGAGTATAAATCAGTGCAAAACGCCTCGGTTTATTATTTAGTGTCGATTTACTCATGACTGTGACCCATGCGTCTTTATTCAGTCAATCGGATCACGAATAAATGTATAAAATAAATATATAAAATAAATTACTTCACTCGGCAGCCCATCACTTTTTTATTTAGGAAATATCTCAAGAAATGAGTCTCTACCTGTACAATTTTATATAGATCGATCGCAAATTTCTTCAGCTGTTGATCGATAATTTTCTATTACTCGAAATTAAAGTAAAAAAAATTCTCTTATAAAAATTAAAAAATAATGCAAATCATATTGGTTAACGACATTTAAATATTTTCTATAAAATTGTTATTTGAATAATACACGAGAAGAAACGTTCTTGCACGTTCAAGATTTTTCCAGAAATAGTTTGAAAAACAAATACATACAATATACCATTTTAAGCCATCTCGTGAACTTATTAAGAAAATCATTACAATAACATAACTGAAAACGTGATAAGATTATATTCTTTTAATAAAAAACTAAACTAACTCTTCAACAAATATTGAACAATAAAATTAAACAATTAGGCTATTGAAAGATGGTATTTGTTTTGACAAGAATGTTTTTTAATAAATAAGCATCGCTTAAAAAGGTTTTCTAAATCTAACCACCAAAGATATTCAAGCTATTCAGAATTTAGCTCTCACTACTTACGAAACTATCACTCAAATATTATTCGTTCATCAAAAGTTCGCTTTGAATATGTCATCTTAACGTTTCTTATCGACTTAAAAAGTAAATGCACGCCTATCCTCTAGATAATCCAAGATGACAACTGGCAAACGTCATCCACAAATCGACCTAAGCGGTCAAAACTAAAAATAAGAACGCAAAGCTTACCTTGTTCAACCTCAGCGTTGATGTTTATGGCTCTGAGTCGAAGTTCTTCGTTCTCATAAATAACACCTCTAGAAGATTTGCGATCGAGCTTGCGATTTGGTTTGATACTGATGTCTCGACGCCGTGCACGTAGCATACCGACACCGGCGGTGCCAGCGAAGCCAACGCCCGCGCCGGCGATCATCTTGATGAGCTCGTAGTACGAGTCGAGTTTTGACAGTTGTCCCGAGGCAAAGCGACGTGCGTTCACGTATTCCTCGCCTATCGCTCGGCGCCTACCCTGGCGCACTTCCTTCAGCTCGCACCGTTTCGTGCGCATTCACTCGACACACTGTTGCGACTGCTGCTGTTCGTCGATGATCGTTTCTGGCCACTCAAATTCGTGCCTGCTGCTGCTGCTGCTGCTGCTGCCTGTGGGTTCATATACAATTCTGATTAGAATTTCTAGCTTTGCCAGTGGTATTGCATCTTTATAGAGAACACTATTCAATGAGTTAAAATGCTTGAGTGCAGTGGCATTTTGCACATTTGCCTATTGATCATGTACATTTTCGTAATCAAATTGTAAATGATTTCGATGATCGTAAAGCGATTAACAAAATACACAATGTTACCATATAAACATCAAAAATATTTCTCAACTGTGACTCTTTAATAATAAACTTTCACAGTTTCTTGTTGAATAATCATAAAAACATGAATTCTCATGCAAAGTAGAGACAAACTCCACTGTGCACTATATAATAACAAAATTAAGTGAGTGTCAATTTCGGATGCTCAAATTCATACAATTCGAAATTCAATAATGTATTAAACGTTGAAAATTGAATGTATCTCACTGTGTACTATTGCAATCATTAATTAAAGCGCACTGCAAATGTTAGTTACGATTGAACAATGAAGAAGGAATTAACAATCTCGCATTAATATTTTGGTTCGACTTCTGCGTTTATTCGTAGTCTAAATTGTACATGTTCAATAATAATTACTTAGCCAAAATTATACAATGATGCTCTTTACAAAAACAAAGCGATAAATGCGTCAAAGCTATATTCATAGTCACACAAAAGCCATTTTATTCTTTGACAAGTTTAAGCTTATAATATGTCTCTAAAGTTCATTGGTAAAAGTGATCAACAACTACTTTGGTATTTCTTATTTATCTTTGTTTAACAAATACAAAAAGAAAACAAATCATTACCACCACAAGCTGGTACTTGGTATTAACAGAAACATTGTTAAGTAAAAAAACAAAGCAAAAGGTCAAACGTTAGAAACAAATGGTTCAGCATGTTGTAAAACAACACATCCGTATGGCTTGACAAAAGTCTTTCAGTCATTTTCCTTTTCTCTCTCTCTCTCTCTCTCTCTCTCTCTCTCTCTCTCTCTCTCTCTCTCTCTCTTTCTCTCTCTCTCTTATTTATTTATTAATTGATATATTTTTACAAGGCACCAAGTCGACAAGCCAAATAACGGATCGGTCCGTGTCCAGCTACAGCCAGTGTATATCCTCAGCCAAGTTCAATCAGCAACGCCCACGGGACACTCGCCTGAGGTTATTAGCTCGTCGATCCTTAATATCCTCGTCGGCCAATTAGCGGGAGAACCGTCCTCCACGATTGATCCCCAACTCTCTACTGCTGCTCGATACCCTGACGAAATAAAGGCAGTTTTATTATGCCAAGGTTCGCGATTTATTATTCGATTTGCATTCTTATCAAATTAAGAATAATGCGCGAATGCGACGCGACGGTGCTTCGTTATTCAGTTCACCTTCGTATATGTCGTATTGAAAATGACAATGTCATTTAGTTTACAACAGCGCCCTTAGTTGCCATAATTTATTCACTTTCAGGAGTTTGCAACGGTGTATTATTTGGAGTGGTGGTCGCGTCAAATGGCATGTCGGTAACTTTGTTGGGCATTATTATTTACTTGTGTCAAAGTTAGATCATACTTGTTTCTAAAACTACGTTATTGTTTCTTCAATTATTTTCACGTAAAAAAGCACGCTTACGACGCTAAGCATTCATTTTACAGTACATCGCTTTATTAAGTTGCTTTCAAATTAAATACAGTATTCTTTTATTGGACGTTTAATTTATATAGACTTTACCATCTGAAAGCAAAAGTATAATGTTTATTCTTCTTAAAATGAAATATATAGGTAACTTTGAACTTCTGCAGTGTTTTGAAAAAAACAGCATGAGTCACGTGAAAAGGTTTTAATTCAAATCCGAAGTATCCTGTAACACAACCGCAATCGAAATTCAAGATTTACAATGGTACTGCTTTAAACAGGCTGTAGTATTGGATGAAAAACTAGACAGATATGGTTATCTTGAATAAATATTGTTAAAACAACTTTATTTATGAATGGAGTAGTTTATCAAAATATCAGACTTTGACAAATTTTTTCATATGAACTTTTGGACTTATACTATTCTCCAAAACACCTTGCAAATTTCATTCGCATTCACCGAATAACAAAACTAGTGATTTTGGTAAACATTTGCTTTTCAGTATAATGACAGCGTTCGCAATAAGCTACAAACTCAATATTTCTCGCAACAAATCTTTGAATAATTAAACAGCGTCGAAAACTTTTCACGCGTAGATTACTTCAGAATTGCGTTCGTTGGCTCGCGAGACTTTCGGAAAACAATCTCTCTCGGCCTGATTACACAAACTTACAGTGTAGCGTAGTGCTGCAACAATAACAGTGGCGCTTGTGCAGCATCAGCTTCTTTTTGTTCCGTTGCTGCCTTGATATTTCAGGGTTAATGTCGTAATGCATGGCCCACGCGTAAGCAAGCCTTCGCATCTAACGCCCCCTATATTCCGCGGCTATCCTATTACCTCTCATGTATATTATAAATATTCAAGTAGCTTTTCCCTATCAACTCGTCCGCACACCTGCACTTTTAATCCGAAGCCATCCTTTGCCTACGCAGATTTCACGTACGCACGCTACGCTTCTTATCCCTGGCCGATCATCACTTTTATGATGCCTAATGAAAATTAGCGAACCCGAGCAGCCGCGGTTGAACTTGCTGGGTAAACGTGTTTATCATGACGATCAACAGCCCTAAAAGTTCTCTTTATGACTGACAACCAAACTTTCGCGGTGTTTTCTGTCGGCTGTTTTTCCCACCACGCTATTCAATTTCCACGGGGCTTGTTTTGCTGTCTCTCCCTCTCCATCTCTCTCTTGATTTTCGCGCAAAGTTTCGACGTGGAAATTTTCACGCTCGAGATTCCAGCATTTGAATAATGAGATTCGCGTGCGGAAAGGATTGCAAAATTACGCTCGATCACGTCCTTACGGCGTTGCTAAAAAAAAAAAATGATTGATATTTCGCCTTCGCTTTCTATTGGAAAAAGAGTCAGTTTATAATCGCCTCAATACTTCTCCGTAAACAACCCAATTCTTTTTCCCTCTCGCACGTGCTGCACTCTCTTTCCTTTTCTGTCCACAAAGCCTTTTAGCGGCGCTACCTCTGTGGAAACCTATTTACTCCCGCGTACGCATCGGCTTGTATACAGATCTCTCTCCCTCCGCGTAGTGAAAAAAAAGAAGAGGTGCGCCTTCAATCCTCCGTCGGTATCTCCGGTGATTTATTAAGTCGAACTTTCGCGAAATTCCATCGACGTCCCTCCAAGACTCCACCTCTCTCTCTCTCTATCTCACTCGATGTGTGTGCGTGTGCGCTTTTACGTCTCTCGTCTGAAAAATAAAAGAAAGATTTTTCAGTCAATGAGCTTTTGATGATTCCGCAGGATGTTTGTGTGCTCATGTCGGCGGCTAAGATAGATGCTGATGTTTATTGACAGCACGGCGGATATGTGCGCGAGGAGAAAGCGAAAGCGCGGTGCACAGCTCTGTTGTTGTTACGCGCTGTGTATGTGCTTTGAAAACTCAGGATCAAGAAAGCAGGATACGCGACTGATTCAAAGAAATCACGATTTCAATTGTTCTCTTATTTGTTTATCTACTGATTCAATTTTTTTACATGAATCGATAATTCCGACAATTGGTACATCTAGTTTTTCAATTATTTGAAAAAAGTTTTCAATAAAATTTAATGATAAGTAAGCGTATCGTAAACGTACAGTCAAAAGATTGAAAAATGTTTTCTTCATTGGAGTAAAGGCATCGTATCTCTTCAATAAATATGAACACAACCGCTTCATGAAATAAAAAAAAAGCAAGTAGAAAATTTACACAGATCCCATCAAGAAAATTAACCGTTAGACGCGCTTGCAATGAGAAAAAAAATAGAAACGTAAACGAAACCGGACGAAGTCAACTCAGCAGAAGTCTGTTTACTCATCTCGTTCGTAAATATAAAAAAAACGTGCCCACACCAATCATCTCCGTGGCAATTTACGAAAAGAAAACATTTATAAACACGAAGGAGGAGGGAAAAACGTTGAAGCACACGTTTCAGTACCTCTCTCTCTCTCTCTCTCTCTCTCTCTCTCTCTCTCTCCTCTCTCTCTTCTCTCTCTTTCTCTCTTCTCTCTCTCTCTCTTCTCTCTCTCTCTCTTGGTTCAAGCTCTCTTTGTGGGGTTGCAGGCGCAGATGGACGACTTGGCGACGTCAAAGGCACAGGTCTGCAAGCTGATGTATGTACATATGCTTGCATCCGACGACGAGGTCCTTTGATTCGTACCTGCAAATTAATAACGTTTCAGTACGAACGTAGGCATACAAGAATGTTTAAATTACTGCGAAATAATCAGGAAGAGATTGATATATGGATATCGCACCGTTTGGCAAAACTATCTAAATTATTGGTTTTAACATCTAAATCGTCGTGTCTATTTCTAGCTTTGGCCTCTAAATTAACGATCGCATCACGTCGCTTGCACGCAGATACAGTCTCTGTCTTCGAAGTGTTTATCTTATGGAAACATTAGCGTGTCCTTGTCAAAGCTTCGTCGTGTAAATTTTCGTAGGAATTGGGGAAAAAAATAACATGAAGCATCTTAATTACTCTATTTTTTTTCCCGTCTCGTATGATTCACGACATTTTTAATTTAGACATTTATAGCGACGTTAATTTATCTGTCTCTTGATAATCATTTGGCAAGAACTTGTGATTGTGAGTAAAAGACTTTGGCACTCGAAGTTTTTTATAGTATGACCAGCGATGGGTAATTACCGCTCAAAACGACTTCGCGTCGATATTGAACGATAATTTAGCTAGAGCTTGCGTCTTGCATCAAGCAGAACCACTTTAAACGATTATTTCTGTCCTGGAAATATGTCTTATTGCCCTAAAAACACACTTCTGTCATTCACGTAAAAATCGGCAAATTCATCAAAATATTCTCTTTGGCACTCTCGTGTGCTTATATTCCCACAGGTAATATTGCCGCGACGATTTACACGTGCGTGTAGATGTATGAATACGAGAGCCTCGAAATCTCATTTTATCACCCTACGGAACATATTCCCGCTTATTAAGTGCGCTCGGGGACGGTCTTAGATTTTGCTTCGTGAATCAGGGCTTTTTCATGTGCAACTGATACACATGAGTTTTCTTTGGTCTGTAGGGACATTAATAATGCTACACGCAGGATCAAGTTCAACTGAATATTTCGTACAATTGACCCAATCTACTCGACATGTACGATTATAATCTGTCAACACAAGGCATACTACATATGGTTAGTCGGATTTGTAATCCGCTCGAAATGTCGATTGGCATCGTTAGAGATACGAGCTAATGAATTTACTTATAATAAAATGAACGAACTTACCAGTAAGCGATGTTAGATCGAAATTATATGAAATCCTCAGTCGGGTAAATTACACGTTATTGAGAATGGCAATTAAATGGGCGATGGTTCGGCGGGAGATGCGCTTTTTGCTTTTTCTTTAGGAAGTGTTTAGTGGCACGGCAACAATTACGTAACGAACAGATGACGCGCCGACGCTTCTCGGCGTTTCTCGCGTTGAAGGCAGGCGCACGTACGGACTGGTCAACCACGCGTGTGCGAGCCAGGTTGGGCATCTCCTCGTAAAAACTGGCGCGCCAAGGTAACGACGAGATTTACCCGGCGGTTTCCCCGTTTTATCGGGCTCATCGGTGTCTCGCGTTCGAGCGCACGTGCAGAACTCGTAGGTGCGCGCGAAATATACGATTTTTAGGCGCGGGTATGAGCGGGAATGTGCGCGCGCGAGTGAGCTAGGTGGATTGAGCGAGGAGGTCAGCGATTTTACCGATACTTGCATCTGCCCTGCCTCCGTGGCTTCGCTCGTCCGAGCGTGTGGCTACCTGCAGGTAGGTCCAGGGCCGTGTGCTCTCTCGAGGCTGTTACGACCACTCTCCGGAAGGGACAAAGTTACGATTCGGTAATAGCGCCAGGGTTATCCCGAGGTCGTTCGGCGATCCACCAGCGAAGCGGACATTGAGGGCGCAATTTAGGGCGAGAGAACACAATTTAGGGCGTCCTATATCTTTGGTGGTCTCACTATTGCAGCAGTACTGTGATAAAAGCGCAGCACAAAGGAGAAGTTTTTTTCTTATTAAAGAGTGATGTAAAGGATAAGACTGACCTCAGCGCTCAACTAGGTAAGCCTTAACGATCCTTTGCACGACGAGAAATTGCGTACGAGAACTTTGTATCATCATCATATGTACTCTAGTCGATGGTTCCAGTAAAGAGAAAGCGCCCCCCATCGGCAAGTCTTCGACTTCAATATCCAATTTTCAGAGTAAGCGGAAGCGAGCACTTCATTTACATTTTTCCAATGATATGTGAGAATAGAAGGCTTGTGCAATTTTACAATTAGCATTTGGGTTGGATACAATGTACTCGCTTACAAGTCAGAACGTATGATCGTTCAATTATGTTGTTTTCGCTCTCCTACAATACATGTAATTTTTTTAGAGTACCTTGCCGAAAAATTTCTCTTTAAAAAGGTTTGCACGCTATGAAGCACAGGTGATCCACTTTCGGATGTGTTTTCGACGAAGATGGTGACAACAATAGGGACTGATTAGACTGTAACATAAACGAGTTTCCCACCATCAGATTTTCGAACAATGGAAACTAGAATTGATTTTTCCAAAATGGAATCACTGCGATACCATAAGCATTTTCTCGCTTAATTTTCGATAAATCTTGCAAACATTAATGAAAAGATGGAACTGCACAAGAATAAAATTCAGACCAATTTATAGAGAAAGCATCAACAAACAATGCATCTTTCTCCGGATCTCAAGAAATAAATTTTTTACATTTCCTATACTATGCCGTAACAAACAAATCTATCATTTTACGTGTGAATATTTTCACTTCTAAATAGTCTATTTATTGCTGTGTTTTTCTTGGAGGAAATGTAAAAAGCTAAAATTATAACATTTTTGGTCCCTATCCATTGCCAAATTTCTCTAGATAATTTTCTAAATTTTTCAAATCTTATACCACCCATTTTATTTATATATGATACAAAATTTATATTTAATGTATATTTTAAATTAAACATCGAGATAAATTATGTTTTTCTAAGAGACTTTGTGACACGCGTTGACATCGCTCGCACATAAAAGAAAAAAAAAAATAGAAGATTGACGTCGGGCACGAGCCGACGGGCTGGCGCTTTTTTTTTTACTGGGACTGAACGTGTGACGTTGAGCCTAACGGAAGAATGCCACATACGACGAAGGAGAGCGAGGACGCACTATAATTTCGCATAAATATAATTCGACGCCAATCGACTAATCGTTAACACGTCGGTTTTTAATCGCAAGACATAAAAGCTACCGACAATTAACCTTCATGAGCGTTCGATCGCACGCAGTTAGCGAGCGGCAATCGAAACTTTCTCCGCGCGAAATGCTTTCGCTCGCGAACTAAAAACAGTCCGACTCCGTTTGCATACCATTTATCAAAGGTCGCGAGGTCGAACAAGCAATTGTTCACTGGCTTGCTTTAATTGAATTTTATCTTTCGCGTGGCAAGCAACGAAGGCGCCACGCATCGCCGGTAAAGGACACTTTTTGTTTATGCGCCATGACTTTTAACGAGAGAGTTTATGATGACCGAAGAAAAATGAAGGAAAAAAGATATGCGCGTAAATTGCCGCAATGAATTCCAGACCGAGAGAAAAATCTCGTTAATGCGCGCCTTCGCGTTTGAATAAAGTATGACGGTCTGCATAAATTGCGAATAATTGACTTGGTAGAATGTCCCTCGAAAATTCTATTTCCCAAGTGCTCGGAATGAATTGAAGTCGCGATGCATCTTCTAATATCTGCAATAACGTCGTTGAATTACGCCTGGAAGTGGGCACCTAAATAACCGCAGGATTTCCGTATGACGTTCGCAGTCGATATGTAAATTCAGGAGGTCCTTTTTCCTCCTAGAGTTTTTTCAACGCGCAGGGATTAAGGTAGATAGGCGCACAGCCGGCCGAGGGGAAAATGTTTCGCGTGTGCGACTTGCGCGCCTGGCTTTGGGCGGCACAGCGAGCCGTAAATCTGAATTTAATCGAGAAGCAATTGCGTAATTTCTGGGAATCCGCGGTATCTGGAACGATTCCATAAAGTAGTGAGCGCAGATTTTCTTTTTCTCCGCGCGCTTTGGCGCTTCGACCTCTGCCGGGAGTTTTCCCGGAACGCCAAGCCGCTCGATTCGCGCGCGCCTGATCGATTAGTTTGCCGCGCACTATTTCGACTCGGATCCCTCGGCCGTGTTTTCCTTTTTCGCCGCTATGTTTACAAAGCAAAAGTCAAATTTCGTCGCGCGCCGCTGGAAAGCAACACAAATCGAGCTTCATTCGCTGTTGGATGGCCTGAAAATAAATACCGTACACTCGCGAAACGTGCTCGCGCGCGCGGGACCCGATACATCTCGAAGTCGTAAAGTTTATTTGGAATGAGTTCGGCGATGATCATTCGACGACGTCGTTCCGCTGGCTTGTCCGAAGGCTTCCCCATCGGGAGCGCTTGCGAGCGGAGTCAAACAGAACCAGCGCGACACTTTGAGCACGCGAAAACGACGAATTGGCAAGACACCGGCCCTTAATTTTCATCACGTAACAAAAGCTCGGCGTCTCGTTTATGATCTTCCACGTGGAAGGGGGATGAGAACGACTCGCCAAGGAAGCGACGGACAAACTTTGGCGATTCACGCCGTGAAAGAGTGCAAATGGCGAACGATAAGAGCATTGTAAATTGCGCTCTGGAAATAAAATGGCTTTCACGATTCGGCAAGCCGGTCCGACACATGCGCGCTTGTGTACACGGGGCCGTCAACCAGAGGCAATCGGTCGATCGCCTCCACGGCATTCAATCTTCGAGGCGTCAGTCCAAATTGAAAGCGGTAAAGTGTGCGCCGGTGCGCGGGGCTGCCTCTGCAAAACAAATTCGCGGCATTGAAAAGGAGGGGAGAGGAAGCGGCTTTGCGCCTCCGGAAGCTGGGAGTGAAGCTTGCGGTCGACCTGGTAATTAGCTGGCTGCCCGCCTGCCTGTCTGCCTGCCTGCTTGCTTGGCTTCGTAGCTCTTTGACCTCGTTCAGTATCACTTTCAATGATAAACTCGAGAGAAAGAGAAGGCGCAAGCGTTCGATTATTTCGAGTTGGACGCTAGCATTGATAAACGAATTTGCCAACGGCAGACTGATCCGAGGGGAGCCGGGGCATTGAAAATGCGCGCGTTAATAACCAATCCGTAGGAGCCCCGATCAGATAGGGTTGTGTCTCTACACAACAGGGCGTCATTGCTCGACAGGTCTCATCAGGCTTGCACCTCTCGAAGCTTGGCCTCGCGAAATAATTCAGAGGGGTGCGACGTTAACCCGAAACACGAGGCCCGCTCGACGAGAGTGTCACGTTCGGCCTGCCGATAGACGGGTAGAGGCGCGCGCGAGGTAAACGTGACCGGCGCCAACTAATTTCAGAGCAAACATTACTCTCGCGCTGCGCCGCGCTGCAAAACACTCTTTTCACGCGTCGACCTCTCCAAGTGCGAAAACTTAAACGTCTTCTTCGCCCTCGTGGATTAGAGTTTCGTGCAAGTCTCGGATTTTGATGCTGCGCCATCCTTGCCTTCTTTCTTTTTCTCAGCTGGCTGATTAATTAAGATTCTTTCCGCGTAAATTATTTTGGCGCGCAGAGACGGCCAATGAGTCTTCGTTTTGCGACGTAGACACTTTTTTTTTCTTAAAGAAGCGTTGCTTTCGGTTGAGACTGAGGTTCTTAACAAAAGTAGCAAGGAACTAGAACAAACAATGTTTTTTAGCCATCGAATATGTTAAGTTTTTATACCCACGGTAAATATAGTACGAACATGTGAGCGATTCAGTTTTGATCGTCAATTCTGATGAAAGTTTCGCATAAGAGAAATATATTTGTCAATGCATAGTTTTCATATGTGGTAATAGCCGGAAGCTACAGATATACTAAAGCCACAATATTTTCTTGTTTGACAGGTAAGCCAGACATTAGATTAGAAAGAAAAGTGGAAAAAAGAGGAGCCAGCCCCGTATACAGGACGGGGAGAGAGGACGCAGCATCCAATTACGAAACTCTCAATACCAATTTGATAGCGAGGGCGGTGGCGTTGCTCGCGACATCCGTGGAATATCCGAAAGCTAGAGAGAAGGCCAACTTGGGTAAGTCTCGTAACGGGGGAGGGGATGACTTGCTAAAACCTAATTGAATTTGGCCGAAAGACTAGCGTTAATTGCAAGAGAGAGAGAGAGAGAGAGAGAGAGAGAGAGAGAGAGAGTGCCAAGTGTCGCAGTGACGCAGGTCTCTGAGTCTTAAGAGTTCAGCTCTCACTCGGCCAATTTAAACTTGGAGCTTACAATGACGTATCGTTAGCGCCATTCAATTTTCCCGCGCGCATGTCGCGCACCTCGCGCGTGATTACGCCACCTCAACGTTACAGCCGCTCGGATTTGCATAGAGATGAGGCGTAACACACCGCGCCGGACATCGCGCCACGTGTATTTTAATAAAACGCCGGAAGGGCGAGTTACAAACTTTTTGTCGGCCGAGGGGCACCTCAAAGACCAATCGAGCCTTTTCTCGTAGCTCCTTATTTATTCGCGCCTCTCGTGCTAGGCAATTGCGATTTCGCAAATATGACTGTCGCACATTTTCTGGCATCTTTCGAACGAATGCGATTCCAATAACCCTCTGTATCTTTTCTCGAAAAATAAAAGTTCGTACGTCTCAAAAAAAGAACTCTCATAACTCACGACGTTTTATTGTCAAAACATATCTTGGAGGTGGAGAAAATTTACAACATCAACAAACGACGCACCGAAGGAGAGAGCGAGAGAGAGAGAGAGGAAGGAAATCACCATCCCACGAGAGTGCGCACTAAAAAATAAACGGAGAGAATTAAGGCCAATCATCGAAGTGAGAGAGACAAAACCTCGAATTCCCGCTCATAGTCCGCAAAGGCTTTTTATACATCATGCACACCGGACAGATAAGATTTACACGACGAAAAAAGGATGCATGATCGCAGCTTTCTTTTTTCCACGCGAAAATAGCGCGCTCCGAAACCTCGGTGACTTCATCCAGACTTGGTGGAAAGTTTAATGGGTGACTAATTATTTCTATACTCCCCGCGCCTGGATCTTTCACGTGTCTCGTACGTTTATTTTCGCGTGCGAGATTTATCGTGTTTTCTCGCCATCTCTCGCAGTCTGAAAGTCCAAAAAAATAGCAGCAGCACCTTGCTCCAGGCTGCAAAAATATATATATTTCCACCGGTAGCGATCGTTATACAACTAAGCAAACACATTGGCGTATAAAAAAAAATATCGTTAATTGACAATAGCTTGCGTGAAATTTCAGTATCAGCGCTGTGACACTAAAAATCTACAAATCAATTTGCCGACGATTGTTACATTTATGAAAATCGCAAATGCATTAGTACAACAAATAAATCTGAAATATCAATTTGCGAAAAAGCCTAAACTAGCCTAAATTTGTTATCGAAGTAAGCCACCTTACTTACGATGGGTTTGAGAATAATTAAATCGGACAGCACGTAAATCATTCGACGCGAGTCGTTTATCACGCAATCTCGACACAGTTTTCCGAGGGAGGGTTGGCTGAACTTCGTGGCCCCACGACCATTTTCGCATTCAGGTGTTACTGACGTACGCTGATGTTTTATTAGTATTTCTAGAGAACTATCCGGTATTTTCGTTTTATTGTCGTTATTTGTTGATAGTGGACGGCTTAAAAGTACGAACGATTCAATTTACCTTCCACTCGTAAATTGAAATAAATTGTTCAATACGGCGTACATTGATTTGCGCCGAATTTTAGTATATGCCAAAGATAAAAACCAAGAAACCTCGTAAAGTATTTAACATCTCATACTTAACTGAAAATTATTGTAAACGTGAACGAATTTACACGAAAGCGCAGTCAATCTTTCAAATCAGCAAGTAGTCGACTGCAGCATAAACAAAGAAGATTGTAGTTGAGTCATAGCTTGCTCGTTAAAATCTTGAAGCGCAGCATGATTTTTAATTGAGATTGAAGATGCGCCACGGACAGAAGACGAACGAGTTAGCGCGCAGGTGTGGGTTTCATTCTACTCGAGGCACTTTATCATTTTTTTCGGAAACGCCATTGTATGGCGAAGCTTGGCAGGTCTCTGACACGCCGTCGCGCGCTAGCACTTTTAATCTTGTAATTGCAGTCTTCCGCGCGCTAACTAATTCATCTTGCTTGCTGCCCCGACGTGCGCGCACTTTTGGGTCGCCCTTCTGCGAGCTCCTCCACTCGGAGTTCAGAGCACACTTCTCGCCAGGAAGCCAAATATTCGACAGCATTTCTCATATCGATTCACACTTGTTGGTCTAGCGGACTTTTTGCTCTTCTCGCTCCGTCACTGTACTCTTTTTGTTTCGTTCCTCGTGTGTACTTGCAGTTCTGCAGACATAACGCGTTTGTCGAATTTTTTTTTTCTTTTTTGGTTGGTTTCCTTGTCTCTCCCTTTGTAAATTTATTTTGTTACGCAAATTTTTTGCAATTTAACACGAGAAAATTTCCTTTTTGTATTCGTCAAACTAAAATGTTGACATGAGCAAAATTTAGAAAATTCTTATTTGTGTCGAATAACGAATATCGATGCTTCGAATTAATTAAACATAATTAATTCGACAGAAATATGGAACAAAATGTATTGTATTGAATCGAATCAATCGAATCCTGTCAAATAATCTTTATTTGTTTAACAAACTCACATCGAAATTTCGAAAATTTGTGTTGTTTTCCTACTCACATATCTAAAATAACGAATAAAAATTATAATCACTTCTTATAGATCACATAATCAATTACACACTGTCATATCTCACCATTTATTAAACAATTGCACACAATTCCTTTTTGAAGTTTGCTTGCTACTCGTCATTACATTGATAATCCAATGAGTCAATAAATCAATCGGAAAAGATTGGAACAAGTTCATGTTTGGAGCAAATGTAAAATAAATGCATTTAAGACATCTGTGGACATAGTCAATAGAGTTATTCGCAATCGAAATAATGGTAGAGATTGTGCGATGTAAATATAGTTATTATAATTTTATTTTATTGATATCGTGAACAGGAAATCAAGTTTTCGATAAGTTCTTGTGAATTTGTTAAATAAGTTAAGATTGCTCAGCAAGATTCGCTTGATTCAATTCAATACAACACACTTTGCGACATTATTGCGAGCATTCCGGAAGAAAAAGTAACCATTATTTGAGAAATGGAAAGCAACGTATTTTTTGGTCTAATAAAATTAATTGAATAAGTGATAAACTTTCGATTGATCATTAGGTAATTGACATCAGTCACCAAATAACCCAAACTCGGTATCAAATGGATTACGGTAAAAGCTTTTCTCTATTAAAAGAAATTAAGAAATCGCATGCGCTCAAACAATAACGCCGAGTAAGTTAGATGCACTTCATTACCTAACGCTTAGTTGATGTGTGGATCTATGTGATAAAAAAGACTGCCACACATCGGCACGCACAGACACACGCGGAGCACACAAATCACACGAAGACACTGGTCGTCAATTGCTCGGTCATCGATCAGCCGATGGGCATTGCTGAGCTGCCTGCCTGCTTGAAGAGTGCCCGACTACTCTTCCCGGCTGCTGCCGCGACTTTGGCTTGCTCTCACTCTCTTACTCGTGCGCACGCACACGCCTGCGGCTCAACATCGCGGCTCTCGGTGCCGTCTATCTAAAATTATCCGGCGGCGACGACGACGACGAAGCTGGACGTAGATGTGGTGGGAGCGACGATTTTTCGGGGTGATCGACTGATGTCCGGTGCACGATCGCCTCTTCTTTCCGACTAGACGGCGCAGTTCGTCCGACACTAACACGACGTTTGATTGAAATCCGATGGTCACTTTGCGCGAAAACCATGTTTCCGTTGCAACATTAGCATGCTATACGCTCCATCGGTACAGTGAAAATTGCTTTTTTTTCAACGGCAAAGCAAGCTTGGATAATAAAATTTGGTCGATAACTATTTGGAAAAGCTCGCGGCCGCCGATTACGATTAGCGGACGAAGATTATCGGTCCTAATATTAGATCGCTTGGCTTCGTCGTCCGTTGATCTAATAATAAATTATACCATTTTTAGCACAAAGAGCATTATTACATATAGATCTGTCGTCTCCTATCCAACTTTCGAGCGAACTAACCAATGAAATGGCTCAATTTTTATCGACCATTGCAAAACTGTCGTCCACCGATTGACCAAGCTCTCGCTAATGATCTCTTAGTTTCAAAGAAATCGACCGCTCGCCAATCCTTCAATGGGAAACGGGAAAAGAAAGAAAGCTCTGGTACTTTATCTCGCGAAGCTTTTTTTACAGTCGAACGCGTGCAGCTGCCGAACTGACTCACGACTATTTCCGATATAGTACGCTCGATCGACATTGATGAGGCGTGACATGTAGACACGCACTTTACCTTCTGTCTCTTTGCTTTTCTTTCACCGATTAATCGCAGCCCACGCTCGTTTATTGTTCTTCACGGTTCGCCTTCTCCGGCGCTCATAATATGAAGGAGATGTTGCCCTCTCGAACCTTTATGGGATCAACACAGAGGAGCTTCTCTGGCGTCCAAATTTTCGTAGGTCCAGGTAAACTTTTCTGTGGGATGTACCACATTTTGTTATTCATGTTGTTATGATGTTCATTTTGCTTTTCGTTGCTAGGCATACAATATATTTCTAAGCTGTACAAGCTGGTTCAGGTGTTACGCGTTAGAGAGAAAAAATTTTTTTTTATCTACGAAATTTGTTTTCAAAACAGCGCGAAGAACATTCAAGCTTACGTTTTTAGAACAAAGTAAAAAAAAAGTGCGTGATTTACGCCGCGAAAATAGGCGTCGATGCGAAATTCCGCAGCAAACATTTAGCTGCGAGCTTCAGCGAGAATACTGGAATACCGCGCACGCGTGTGTCGATATAAACTATCATTGAACAAAGATAGCCCAAACAAGATGGTTATAAAGGCGCCTTCACCGAGACCTTTACGAATCAATGGATGGGTAACGAAGCGGTTAAACGCGAAAATCCAAACACGGAAGCCGCACGAGCATTAAAATTTTTTAAATGGCCCGATTTCTACGCAGCAGTTATTCTCGGGTCGAAGGAAAAAATACGGATCACGTGCAACTTCGTAAATAGCGGGGCAGAGTAATTATTTTTCTTGGAAAGTTTGTACAGCAGCCACTGCTCTGCGTAATGCTTGGGGGGCAAGTTGCGCCGGAATTGCGCTGTTGATGAACCTTAAAATACGAGCAATCGCGGTTGCGATGCGGTTGTGGTAAAAACGTCGGATAACAATTGCCTAATGACCTTTAGAACGTCAAAAGCCCGAACGAGCGTTGTGGGAGGGATAAGGATGTGTCGTTGCCTAGAGAAAGAGAGAGAGAGCGTCGATTTATTTCCGTTTGCATTCCGCGCTTATTTCTGTACGTGAGATGGCCTACATTTTAGCCCAGACCCGTGAATCTCTTCCATTTTCTCCTCCATGAGGAGTCTTTAATTAGCACATTTTTCCTCGTCCGATATAACGTAATCTGATTATTTCGTTGAGAGTTTTTATTCAAATATGTGCTCATATTCTGTGCCCTAGATTTTTATTTGTTATTTAAAGTACCTTTAATTGTATTTTCAAATAATTCCCACGCTGTCGCGTTCATTATTTCAGGTAAATTTATTTGTTGATACTGCCGGTAAGAAAACAGTAGTTGTACGGCGTCGCTTTCATAGCATGTTCACGTATAAATGCGTTAAATTTGCCCAATGAAATTTTAATTGACGTAGATGAAAAGACAATGCCAATGATTTTCGATACTCTGTTTTCGGGCTTGTCTATTTTGACAAGAAGAATCCTAATTTTCATAGAGCAAAAAACCCGTCCCTTTGATACTGGCAGCGTTACAATAACGAAATAAAGTTTTGCAATCCGTGTTGTGGGAAATTTGGAAATTCGGTCATGCAGCACTCGACATTCTCGTAGATGAAGCATTGGTATTGTAACATTTAAATAGGGAAATACGGAGAAATGGTTGATAATGATAAAATGTATTTTTATTAGCTCAGACTCATTGCTTTAAAATTGTAAATTGCGTAATTTGTTATTCCAAACGTAAAAAACGTCAAAGTTCACATTCAAAGAGAAATTAAGCGACGCTTCCTCTGAATACGTATCGGTTATCTTTGTCAGGCGAGCGAGCTCAGCGACGGCTCATCGCTTGGATTTTTTTCGGCGTTGCTTCCTTTGAACCATAGCTAGTAGAGTCGACTTGGTCAGCCGAAGATTGTTTCTTTCTTCAGGGCTAGCTGTTGACGAGATCCCTCGTCAAGCTTGATGGTGAGCAGCACACGGTCGAACATGTGACCGTACGCGGGAAGTCAACACGCCGGACCAGAGCAGAGCGCGACGTTGTTTATTATATGGAGCCCAGGCGAGATTGCGAGCGAGTCTCGTTGCGATGACGAGTGCTTCTTCATCCGTTTCGGTGCGAAGATCGCCGGATTAGATAGCGTTTGATATGCGCGAACACGTTTGAACTGACGATTTTACATTGCGACGGAATTTGGAAACTTCAAATTACAAAGTAAGTTATCACTCTTTTCATAACGGAAGACTGCACGGGTTTAATCTTAGAAGTAGCCCAGAGACAAAGAAACACAATCAAGATCAACTTCTATTGACCGTATAAAAAACGATTTTGCGACAGCAGTAATTGATGATCAGCAATCTGAAGAAATGAAAAAAGTTTTAGAAAAATGGCTCTGTTCGTTCTTATAATTGACTTTTTTCTGTTGTTGCGCCACATGCGCCATATATAAATTGTATAAATATTTGCTATACGATCGAAAGCAAATTTAAATATTTGCGTTTATTATCAGATCGTATTGCATACTTTGGTGAGATCCGATGTTGAGATGGTACTGTTTTTGTACTATGTTCAAGATGTGCTTCTATATCAGTTCCTATATCATCCATTGCGATACAATATTGTTACGATGGTTCTGTATTTCTATTTTTCAATTTTTTGTAATAAATGATAAATAATAATTATACTTTCGTAGTCACGCAGTTTCTATCGAAATTAATCAAGTTTAAGCCTTATTTGATAACTCGGAATTTGAAAGCTGTCAAATTATAAACGGCATTGGATATTAATCTGAAATAAAATTCTAAAGTGCATTTCCAAATACAGCGCACATCGGTTGCAGCGTTCACTTGGACTCTGCGAGCCGCGTCTGAGATACAAAGCGCGCAGTGTCGAGTCGTCGTCGTCGTTGTCGTCGTCGTCGCGTTTCACTTGGGCAGGCGACGCTGCCACGATTTACTCGGTGGTCGGGCTCTAGCTACACCACCACCGGTGCAGTGTGATTTGGCAGCCGACTGGCAATCGATACTTCAACGCTCGCGTGTCCCATTGCGATCGCGGCTCTGCGCTTTTCCTTCCTTCGTCGTGGATTTTCCGTTCTTCGTTGCGGCCCGCGTCGCATCTCTCATTTTGCCACGAGAACGGAAGATTTTGATTGCTCCGTAATAGCAGGACGTCGAATCGCCGATGCTTTCTCCTTTGTTCCTGGATGGATACGGTCCAACGAGACGTCAGCTTGCCAGAAAGTGCCGCGCGCACAAGTGCACGGAATAGGCCTGCCAGCGTTTCGCTTCAACTCAGGCGGACATCGAGGAACTGCCACGCACGAGACTCTTTGTCGCACGCGCGCGCGCGGACGGTCGACAACGATCTTTCAATGGCGCAAAGCGAATCGCGCCGGTGACCGAACTTTGGCTGCGCTCCCGGTCGAAAACCAAAGCCATTGTTTCTCTTTATCCCGCGCGCAGAGATGGTCGCGCGATAGGTCGTCCGTCCTCGCGGGTCGCTCTTCCGCCCGGCGTAATTCGATATTTTCATTAGTTCCGTCGCGCACTCGCGTAATCCCAGATTTTCCAAGCCATCTGGCTTGCGCTCGCGAGCGAGAGCGTCGCCGCCGCGCCAAGCTCTAATCTATCCCCCTCCACCCCTTTCGCTCCAATTCGACGGATTAGATTCGCGGCTCGCACGAGATGCTCGGCCCGTATCTCTCTGCATCTGCCGCGATATCAGGGCGGACGCTTTTCTTTCCAGCTCTTCTCCATTATTTTAAGTAATCTGCGCGCCGTGTTTCTCTTTTTGCCTCGCGAGCGAATCCGCAAGCTTGTCGGGCAACGGTAATGTTTGGAAATCGGGATCAGCATTGGCTTTTGGCATTCGTACGTTTTTCAACGTACAAATCTTCGTAAGCCACATGGTTTTTTCAACATTATCAAAATAAGCAGAATCAGTGTGAAATGTTTCAGATCTTTTTTCATACTTTTCAAAAATAACTAAAGAAATAAATAAATAAATAAATAAATGTAATTGTTGAACGGCTGATGTTTGAAAAAGCACCAAAATGAGCAAAACTTTGTAAATTGTAAATCAGAATTTTGAACTTTCGTACACTTTATAAACTAGTTGACCGGTCGTTGAAACAAAAGGCAAATAAAAAGAGACATTAATCGATCGTTTCATTTGCCCGCTAAAAAAGAAAAAAGAAAAGAAAAGGAAAGTAAA